CACTACCAAACTGTCGGTCCCCTTGGTCCGTCCCACAGACGATAGCCGACCGAAGGGCTCCTTCAAATAGCAACCAATGACTCTCACTGATTCAACCCTGAGGATCAGCTTTGTCTATGATTGCCACAAGAAGGCCTTCTTCGGTGGCTACCTTAGCTGGTCTATCATACGGCTTACGCTGTCGTTGACTACGAGCCTTGGAGGTCTCCTTTCCAGAGGAGACTTGGTCGTTTCTCCGCAGTTTGTTGTCCAACGCAAGCCGGATAAGAGGTAGAAGGATCTACCAGACGAAAAGTCATCGTCTTCTTGGGTGAGGGTTGCGGACCTTCTGAAGAGCGGATACGCTTCACAGATTTGTTCTGTGGGGCGACATCTGCTCTCCCAGGAGACGATGGATCCTTTGCTGCAAAGGAATATCCGGTTCGTCAACGTTTTGGTTTGGAATTGATGCACTTGTAGCAGGTACGGCTGTACGTGCCAAGGCATCCACACCTAGAACACCCGGATCACAATTGCTTGATCTCGACGACACGTGGCTTAACTCCCTGCACTGTAACTTTATTATTTTTGCTTCTTTTTCCCATCGTAGTTAATTTATTTTAGGGCACTACCCCGAACCATTTTGGTCCACGGAGGATCCGAAGATCCCCAAGGTATCCATGAAAGTTGATCTAGGAGGCCTAGGTCAGTTTTTCTCTGCACATCATGGAGACCCCCTTCCCATCCGCAACCCGGGAAGACGGGCCTAGTAGGAGATTGACAACTCCCCTAAACGATGTAACTAATTGATATTGATATTTTCATCGCATATATTGGTACCCAGATCAAAATTACTGGACCATAAAGAATTCGAAGTTAGAAAAATTGGGTTTCGCGATATTTTTTTTAATAACTTGTTTGTCGGATTTGGGTTTTAATAGTTTTTAAGGTCCTGTCCTCGCGTTATATTTTGCAAAGCCTCCTTTTTATTATTCTAAACATATTTAGGATGTTTTGAAGCCGCGACAACTATATTTAATACTCTCATCATAAAATTAGGACGAGAAATTACCAACTATTGAATGAAATGTTGATGGAGAATGTATTGAATGTAAATGTGAGAAAATACCCACGAAAAATGTAATCGTAAAGTATTGTAATCGCCTCCAAATAACTTATAGTATGTGGTTAACCGCAATTGTAACTATAACAAGTGTAAAGCGCTAAGTTCGGCCGGGCCGAACTTTGTATACCCTCCACCGTACTTGAAATAAAAATATAGGGAACATACCAAAAAGTGTACCTATACCGACATTTCTACATACCGATTATGGTTCTAAGTATTTGTCCTCGACCCCATGTTTCTTTGTATCTTCCGCAGATGAAATGATTACAACAGAGTCCAAACCAGGGATGTGAAATGAAATTATTCAAATTGTACTGACTTCCAATACAAAGTGTACTTTTTTCAGTCCGATTTTATTGTTATTAACAATTAATAAGAACATATATAAATATGTACACATGACTCAATCAATTATATGATCTCAATTTAATATAATCTTCAAATAAATAAGTCAATAAAACTTGGCACACATCAGTCTGGACCTAATTCAGTACTCTGTGCAATTATTTTCCTCAATCGGACGAAACTGTATATGAGAGATATATCTAAATCTGACCCGATTTCAACACAACTTCGTAAACATTAGCCTAGACCTAATTCAGTACACTGTGCCAAATTTTTCTCTCAATCGGATAAATCTTGGGATTTTGGTGCACCATTCACATAAATCGGACGAAACTATATATGGGAGCTATCTTAACCGATTTCAATAAAACTTGGCGAGTATCAGTTTAGACGTAATTCAGTACTCAATGCAAAATTTTATCTTCGGACAAATATTGGGAGTTTGGTGCACCATTTACATAAAATCGGATGAAACTATATATGGGAGCTATATCTAAATCTGAACCGATTTTCTCCAATTTCAATAGGGTTCGTCCTTGGGCCAAATAAGTGACCTGTGCCAAATTTCATTCAAATCGGATAATAAATGCGACCTGTACTTTGTTCACAAAAATACATGGACGGACGGACAGACGGATGCATAAATCGACTCAAAAAGTGATTCTATGCATATTCTCAGAAGGAGCCATGGGTCTATTTCGATTGCTTTTGCCTGTTACAAACATATGCACAAAGACATAATACCCTGTACCACAGTGCGGTGAAGGGTATAAATAAGGTTTGAAAATTCTGAAATAATAGAATTGAGCTATAACTTTTGGGAATCGGCTTAAAAATCATTGAGTGTAAAATAATATTGAAGTGATTCCCACTGCGCCAAACTTCTTGACGTTAAAAGCAACAAGAATATCTGTACCGAAATATTCCTGAAATAATGAAAAAACATCTCTCTCATTCGTAACAACAGCGGGGGATGGCGATTGTATTTTCATATTGTATGTTTATTGTATGTTTATGTACTTATAATACTTTAAAGTGAGAATAGTTTGATACAATTTAGAAATAGTGCTAAATATGTCATCGGGGTGCTATTGCATTTTTGACTTCCAAATAGTGCTAAAATTAGTACAATTGTACCAACTTTTGCATCCCTGGTTCAAACCCAAACACGGAAAAAATCATATAACTAGTTTAATATAAAAAGGGGGTTATAAGTGGACGACCCCAAAAAGGGGGCGAATATTAAAAATTTTTGGTAGGGAGATTTGTTACCATATACGACGACAAAGTACCAAATTGCAGGGAAAATTGGGGGTACCCTTATATGGGGGCTATCCGAAAAAAATGGACCTATATTTATAATTTTTTGTGGAGAGATGTGGCACCTATTAAGAACTCATAATAACTCATATAATACTTAATTACAGACAATTCGGTGAAAAAATACGATCAAAATCCTCAAAATACTGAAAATTAGGAGGTACCGTTATATGGGGGCTACCAGAAAAAGAGGACCAATATTTATAAATTTTTTGTGGATACATTTTATACCCAATAAGAACCTAATGTACCAAATTTCAGCGTATTCGGTAGAAAAAATTGGGGTGTACTGTTGTATAGGAGCTATGCCTAAACGTGAACCGATATATCCCATCTTCGAACATGACCTAACTGCAGACAAAAGACAAACCTATGCAAAATTTCAGCACCCTATCTCAATTCCTTCAGAAGATAGCGTGATTACAACAGACGGACGGACATGGCTAGATCGTCTTAGAATTTTACCCTGATTAGGAATATATGTACTTTATAGGGTCGGAAATGAATATTTCGATGACTTACAAATGGAATGACAAAATTAATATACCCTCCATACTATGGTGAAGGGTATAAAAATACCAAACGTGTTCTATGTAATATTTTTTCTAAAACAATAATAAATAATAAAAAACAAAATACTTTTTTGTGATAATTTTTGGGTTGTTATAGATTTTGGCCGATATCTTCGTGACCAATAGGTCTTTTGCTATGTATTCCATCATTCGTAATTCATTTTACATCTTTAGTATGCTGGCTTTAGACGTATATATTGGAATTTTGCCAAATTTGTATTGAGGCAAAATACTTATTATACTCACTGTATGTCTATGTATTGGCAATTTTCTCAAAAATATTCCTATTAAGGACACGATCAAGTTTTGGCCAGTGGCCCAAATATCACATGGGATATGTGTTGTATTTATAAGTTCAAAACAATCTGTTCCTTTATTGTGCGTTTTTAAGCATCCTTATCCGATTTGAAGTATATAGGGTAAGAAACTTCCCTCATAATTGCCGATATAGTTTTTGGTATAGGCTCCACATAATGGAACCGCTTAATCTTTACTTTAACATGTCTTACTGTGTTTTTTAAGAAAATGTTCACAACCTATACATTCCATGCAAATTGCTAAGTTTACCACCGACTCTGCTGCAGAACAAACCCTCAAGAGGAATGGCATTGGGAAGCTCCAACTAATCTGCACATTGCAAAGCAGCAGCTGCTGAATTCCTTCCTTTCCTTCTCAAGTATCGACTCTCACTCATCCATGAATCAAATCTCAACAAGGACAAGGCGACAGGTTTGAGTGGCAAAAATTTCAAGGTTTTTACCGCTTTCACTGCAGAGAAGGTTAGAACTCGTATATTAGTTAATAAAAAGGAACTAAATTTAGTCAGACTTTATAGGGGTAACGCGAGGCCCCTCATAGTCTCTGTCGTCTATGCAACCTGCTGGAGAAGATAAACGACATTGGCGACCTGGTCATTGGTTATGATGCCAATGTCCACAACTTTCACAGTGGCACCAATCCAAGCGATGAGTCCATATTTGATTTTATACTTAGATATAATCTTAGATTATGTAATAGGGGCAACACAGCGACGTTTGTAAATAGAGTGAGGAAACATTAACATAATCCTCACAAACATGGACAACTCTGAGGTCATGAACAGAAAGGTATCTGATAAATGCTCATTTTCGGATAACAGGATGATACTTTTCCAGATTCCCACATCCAAGGAAAAAGAGAAACCTTACAGGAAGCATCGGAGGACAAACCGCGATAAGTTTAAATCTAAAACAGCATCCTCGTTCTTTGGTCGTAAGGATTTCAGAACGGTCGAGGATATTGAGAAAGTTCAGAACAAGGTCACAGGAACTCTTCTGAGTTGTTATAAGACTTCTTGTCCTTGAAAGTACCCTTGGAGGAAATCTCTGCCGGTATGGTGGTCAAATGAACAATTTTCAAGCCGTTCTCCCCTATTTCATTCGCATTTTCAATAATTATATTCCATTAAATTCAATTATATTAATGTACACCACAATTAAAAATTTCACTTCTTCATTTATATTTTATTACAAACATTGTATAAAACTTATATACTAAAATATAAAAATAAACTTAACAAATCTTACAGTAGTACTATGTAAAACTAATTGGCAAACTTTCGACGGCATTTAGACATTTTATGTACATAAGTCAGACTGATGTGTAGGGGTGTGCACCACGTGTAATTGGTTTAGACCAACATACTGGCGTTATTGTCACAAAATTCATAAATATTATCAACAAATAACATTTGTTCATTACTGTTGGGCTCTTGAACGGTAATGGGAGCGGGCAGTGCTGACGATTCGGGTTTTAACAACTTTTCAATGTCAACGGGAACACCACACTCATTTGGATCGGTTTCCAGTGTCAGACGCTTCAAATTATTTATTATGGATATATCCTGTTTGATTTCTTTCTTCACCTCCAGAAGTTCATGTTCGGTGCGTATAATTTCTCGGGCATATGCCTCAATATTTTCTTGAATTTGTCCCACTGACATTTCCAAATCTTTATCGGTGGCGGTATAGAGTTCATTTTGTAATTTATATAGTTTACATTTATTGGTAAGTTCTTTGGTGAGAGCGTACTCCCGATCGTAGAGTTCATTCATTTGAGCATTCTTTTGGGCTAGTTTACTGCGCACCGAACTGCGTATTGTGGAGTCTTTACGTCTGCGCAAGAACTTACTACTGCATTCATTGGCATTGGCTAGCTTATCGTGTGTCACACGTTTATCCTTGCGTCGGTAGCTCCTGCGTTTACGCTGAGAAGAACGATTTTCAGATAAACGATATAGTTTCTCTTTGTTGACTTTGTTGTTGGCCCTTATCGCGGCCTCTTCTTTAGTTGGTTTCAGATTATTTGAATTTAATTCATTCAAATCGAGATTATTGTTATCGTTTTCAGAAGATGGAATTATTATTTCGATGAGTTTAACATTTTTATCATTTTTCTCGTGAGTTTCAATTGTCTTCGACTTCTGGCCGTTATTGGAGGGAGGTTTTTGTTGATTTTTCTTCTTGTTGGATTTTTTGCGTCCAAATTTGAATATTTTACAAATATAGTTGCGTATACACGTTAGGGTGGTGTTATTCTTAAATGCCTTACTGGGATCTTGTATGTCCTTGTGATGTTTCAAACTTAAACGGATCTGCAAATAAAAGAGAACGAAAATCGATTTAGATTAATTTTTATGTTATGTTTGAATGTGTTGCGTTTTTAGACGGTAAATCGGTTCGAGGTATTGGAAAAATCGGGAATAAAAGTCATTCCACGTTTCATAATATTTTAAAACCCTACAAGTCATCCAATTCAATTGAAAATAAAAAGCGCAGTATAAACAGAAAAAAGTTAAGTGTTTTAAAAAATTCCATCTCAGCTCTCTTCATATGTAAAACAGTAAAAAATTGGGTTTCTGAATTTAAACGTTGTCGTACAAGTATTGAAGATGAACCTCGTAGTGGACGTCCAAAACCGGCAACAACATCAGAAATTGTAGTCAAAATGCATGATATGGTATTAAATGATCGATAGAAAAATTTCGTGAATTTGCTAATATCATGGGCATCTCAAATGATCGAGTCCATTTAATTTTGGATGAAGAACTAGAGATGAAAAGGCTTTCAGCAAGATGGGTGCCGTATTTGTTAACAGTCGATCGAAAACGCATAAGAATGAACATTTCTCAAGCTTGTTTGCATCATTTAAATAAAATAGATTTTAAGCGTAGTTTCATAACTGTGGATGAGACATGGATCCACCACTATACTCCAGGGACAAAAGAACAATCCAAACAATGGACTGAAGCTGGAGGAAGTGTCCCAAAAAAGGCAAAAACAATTCTATTGGCTGGTAAGGTTATGGCAACGGTTTTTTGGGACTTAAAAGGTATTTAATTGATTGACAATCTGCAAAAGGGTAAAACAATAAATTCAGAGTACTATGACAACCTTTCGGATCAATTAAATGTACAGATTCGAGAAAAACGTACCGGCACCAGCGGTCAAGCGTGTTTTAACAATAGCTAAAATCACCTTATTCTCCTGATTTAGTTCCCAGTGACTTTTACTTGTTCCCATATGTAAAAAAAATTCTTGCTGACAAGCGTTTTACCTCAAATGAAGATGAAATTACAGTTGTAAACCACTATTTTGAAGACCTTGAGGAAAACAGTTTTAATCAAGGGATAGAATTGCTAGAAAAGTGTTGGACTAAGGGTATTGTAGTTTCAGGAGATTATATTGAAAAATAAAAATATTTTTGAAAAAACTAATTATTCTCTCTCATTGATAGACTAAGAAGTTTCCGAACCGCTCTCGTATAACTGCCTCCATGTGTTGGCATCAGCAGGACAATCACCCGATTTGAACCCAATCGAGCATGGGGCGACATCTGCTCTCCCAGGAGACGATGGATCCTTTGCTGCAAAGGAATATCCGGTTCGTCAACGTTTTGGTTTGGAATTGATGCACTTGTAGCAGGTACGGCTGTACGTGCCAAGGCATCCACACCTAGAACACCCGGATCACAATTGCTTGATCTCGACGACACGTGGCTTAACTCCCTGCACTGTAACTTTATTATTTTTGCTTCTTTTTCCCATCGTAGTTAATTTATTTTAGGGCACTACCCCGAACCATTTTGGTCCACGGAGTATCCGAAGATCCCCAAGGTATCCATGAAGTGCAGAGAAAAGTTGATCTAGGAGGCCTAGGTCAGTTTTTCTCTGCACATCATGGAGACCCCCTTCCCATCCGCAACCCGGGAAGACGGGCCTAGTAGGAGATTGACAACTCCCCTAAACGATGTAACTAATTGATATTTTCATCGCATATATTGGTACCCAGATCAAAATTACTGGACCATAAAGAATTCGAAGTTAGAAAAATTGGGTTTCGCGATATTTTTTTTAATAACTTGTTTGTCGGATTTGGGTTTTAATAGTTTTTAAGGTCCTGTCCTCGCGTTATATTTTGCAAAGCCTCCTTTTTATTATTCTAAACATATTTAGGATGTTTTGAAGCCGCGACAACTATATTTAATACTCTCATCATAAAATTAGGACGAGAAATTACCAACTATTGAATGAAATGTTGATGGAGAATGTATTGAATGTAAATGTGAGAAAATACCCACGAAAAATGTAATCGTAAAGTATTGTAATCGCCTCCAAATAACTTATAGTATGTGGTTAACCGCAATTGTAACTATAACAAGTGTAAAGCGCTAAGTTCGGCCGGGCCGAACTTTGTATACCCTCCACCGTACTTGAAATAAAAATATAGGGAACATACCAAAAAGTGTACCTATACCGACATTTCTACATACCGATTATGGTTCTAAGTATTTGTCCTCGACCCCATGTTTCTTTGTATCTTCCGCAGATGAAATGATTACAACAGAGTCCAAACCAGGGATGTGAAATGAAATTATTCAAATTGTACTGACTTCCAATACAAAGTGTACTTTTTTCAGTCCGATTGTACTTTTTATATTTTTTTAATAAAAATTTTATTGTTATTAACAATTAATAAGAACATATATAAATATGTACACATGACTCAATCAATTATATGATCTCAATTTAATATAATCTTCAAATAAATAAGTCAATAAAACTTGGCACACATCAGTCTGGACCTAATTCAGTACTCTGTGCAATTATTTTCCTCAATCGGACGAAACTGTATATGAGAGATATATCTAAATCTGACCCGATTTCAACAAAACTTCGTAAACATTAGCCTAGACCTAATTCAGTACACTGTGCCAAATTTTTCTCTCAATCGGATAAATCTTGGGATTTTGGTGCACCATTCACATAAATCGGACGAAACTATATATGGGAGCTATCTTAACCGATTTCAATAAAACTTGGCGAGTATCAGTTTAGACGTAATTCAGTACTCAATGCAAAATTTTATCTTCGGACAAATATTGGGAGTTTGGTGCACCATTTACATAAAATCGGATGAAACTATATATGGGAGCTATATCTAAATCTGAACCGATTTTCTCCAATTTCAATAGGGTTCGTCCTTGGGCCAAATAAGTGACCTGTGCCAAATTTCATTCAAATCGGATAATAAATGCGACCTGTACTTTGTTCACAAAAATACATGGACGGACGGACAGACGGATGCATAAATCGACTCAAAAAGTGATTCTATGCATATTCTCAGAAGGAGCCATGGGTCTATTTCGATTGCTTTTGCCTGTTACAAACATATGCACAAAGACATAATACCCTGTACCACAGTGCGGTGAAGGGTATAAATAAGGTTTGAAAATTCTGAAATAATAGAATTGAGCTATAACTTTTGGGAATCGGCTTAAAAATCATTGAGTGTAAAATAATATTGAAGTGATTCCCACTGCGCCAAACTTCTTGACGTTAAAAGCAACAAGAATATCTGTACCGAAATATTCCTGAAATAATGAAAAAACATCTCTCTCATTCGTAACAACAGCGGGGGATGGCGATTGTATTTTCATATTGTATGTTTATTGTATGTTTATGTACTTATAATACTTTAAAGTGAGAATAGTTTGATACAATTTAGAAATAGTGCTAAATATGTCATCGGGGTGCTATTGCATTTTTGACTTCCAAATAGTGCTAAAATTAGTACAATTGTACCAACTTTTGCATCCCTGGTTCAAACCCAAACACGGAAAAAATCATATAACTAGTTTAATATAAAAAGGGGGTTATAAGTGGACGACCCCAAAAAGGGGGCGAATATTAAAAATTTTTGGTAGGGAGATTTGTTACCATATACGACGACAAAGTACCAAATTGCAAAGAATTCGGTTGAAAAACGCGCTCAAGAACCCCAAAATACCGAAAATTGGGGGTACCCTTATATGGGGGCTATCCGAAAAAAATGGACCTATATTTATAATTTTTTGTGGAGAGATGTGGCACCTATTAAGAACTCATAATAACTCATATAATACTTAATTACAGACAATTCGGTGAAAAAATACGATCAAAATCCTCAAAATACTGAAAATTAGGAGGTACCGTTATATGGGGGCTACCAGAAAAAGAGGACCAATATTTATAAATTTTTTGTGGATACATTTTATACCCAATAAGAACCTAATGTACCAAATTTCAGCGTATTCGGTAGAAAAAATTGGGGTGTACTGTTGTATAGGAGCTATGCCTAAACGTGAACCGATATATCCCATCTTCGAACATGACCTAACTGCAGACAAAAGACAAACCTATGCAAAATTTCAGCACCCTATCTCAATTCCTTCAGAAGATAGCGTGATTACAACAGACGGACGGACATGGCTAGATCGTCTTAGAATTTTACCCTGATTAGGAATATATGTACTTTATAGGGTCGGAAATGAATATTTCGATGACTTACAAATGGAATGACAAAATTAATATACCCTCCATACTATGGTGGAGGGTATAAAAATACCAAACGTGTTCTATGTAATATTTTTTCTAAAACAATAATAAATAATAAAAAACAAAATACTTTTTTGTGATAATTTTTGGGTTGTTATAGATTTTGGCCGATATCTTCGTGACCAATAGGTCTTTTGCTATGTATTCCATCATTCGTAATTCATTTTACATCTTTAGTATGCTGGCTTTAGACGTATATATTGGAATTTTGCCAAATTTGTATTGAGGCAAAATACTTATTATACTCACTGTATGTCTATGTATTGGCAATTTTCTCAAAAATATTCCTATTAAGGACACGATCAAGTTTTGGCCAGTGGCCCAAATATCACATGGGATATGTGTTGTATTTATAAGTTCAAAACAATCTGTTCCTTTATTGTGCGTTTTTAAGCATCCTTATCCGATTTGAAGTATATAGGGTAAGAAACTTCCCTCATAATTGCCGATATAGTTTTTGGTATAGGCTCCACATAATGGAACCGCTTAATCTTTACTTTAACATGTCTTACTGTGTTTTTTAAGAAAATGTTCACAACCTATACATTCCATGCAAATTGCTAAGTTTACCACCGACTCTGCTGCAGAACAAACCCTCAAGAGGAATGGCATTGGGAAGCTCCAACTAATCTGCACATTGCAAAGCAGCAGCTGCTGAATTCCTTCCTTTCCTTCTCAAGTATCGACTCTCACTCATCCATGAATCAAATCTCAACAAGGACAAGGCGACAGGTTTGAGTGGCAAAAATTTCAAGGTTTTTACCGCTTTCACTGCAGAGAAGGTTAGAACTCGTATATTAGTTAATAAAAAGGAACTAAATTTAGTCAGACTTTATAGGGGTAACGCGAGGCCCCTCATAGTCTCTGTCGTCTATGCAACCTGCTGGAGAAGATAAACGACATTGGCGACCTGGTCATTGGTTATGATGCCAATGTCCACAACTTTCACAGTGGCACCAATCCAAGCGATGAGTCCATATTTGATTTTATACTTAGATATAATCTTAGATTATGTAATAGGGGCAACACAGCGACGTTTGTAAATAGAGTGAGGAAACATTAACATAATCCTCACAAACATGGACAACTCTGAGGTCATGAACAGAAAGGTATCTGATAAATGCTCATTTTCGGATAACAGGATGATACTTTTCCAGATTCCCACATCCAAGGAAAAAGAGAAACCTTACAGGAAGCATCGGAGGACAAACCGCGATAAGTTTAAATCTAAAACAGCATCCTCGTTCTTTGGTCGTAAGGATTTCAGAACGGTCGAGGATATTGAGAAAGTTCAGAACAAGGTCACAGGAACTCTTCTGAGTTGTTATAAGACTTCTTGTCCTTGAAAGTACCCTTGGAGGAAATCTCTGCCGGTATGGTGGTCAAATGAACAATTTTCAAGCCGTTCTCCCCTATTTCATTCGCATTTTCAATAATTATATTCCATTAAATTCAATTATATTAATGTACACCACAATTAAAAATTTCACTTCTTCATTTATATTTTATTACAAACATTGTATAAAACTTATATACTAAAATATAAAAATAAACTTAACAAATCTTACAGTAGTACTATGTAAAACTAATTGGCAAACTTTCGACGGCATTTAGACATTTTATGTACATAAGTCAGACTGATGTGTAGGGGTGTGCACCACGTGTAATTGGTTTAGACCAACATACTGGCGTTATTGTCACAAAATTCATAAATATTATCAACAAATAACATTTGTTCATTACTGTTGGGCTCTTGAACGGTAATGGGAGCGGGCAGTGCTGACGATTCGGGTTTTAACAACTTTTCAATGTCAACGGGAACACCACACTCATTTGGATCGGTTTCCAGTGTCAGACGCTTCAAATTATTTATTATGGATATATCCTGTTTGATTTCTTTCTTCACCTCCAGAAGTTCATGTTCGGTGCGTATAATTTCTCGGGCATATGCCTCAATATTTTCTTGAATTTGTCCCACTGACATTTCCAAATCTTTATCGGTGGCGGTATAGAGTTCATTTTGTAATTTATATAGTTTACATTTATTGGTAAGTTCTTTGGTGAGAGCGTACTCCCGATCGTAGAGTTCATTCATTTGAGCATTCTTTTGGGCTAGTTTACTGCGCACCGAACTGCGTATTGTGGAGTCTTTACGTCTGCGCAAGAACTTACTACTGCATTCATTGGCATTGGCTAGCTTATCGTGTGTCACACGTTTATCCTTGCGTCGGTAGCTCCTGCGTTTACGCTGAGAAGAACGATTTTCAGATAAACGATATAGTTTCTCTTTGTTGACTTTGTTGTTGGCCCTTATCGCGGCCTCTTCTTTAGTTGGTTTCAGATTATTTGAATTTAATTCATTCAAATCGAGATTATTGTTATCGTTTTCAGAAGATGGAATTATTATTTCGATGAGTTTAACATTTTTATCATTTTTCTCGTGAGTTTCAATTGTCTTCGACTTCTGGCCGTTATTGGAGGGAGGTTTTTGTTGATTTTTCTTCTTGTTGGATTTTTTGCGTCCAAATTTGAATATTTTACAAATATAGTTGCGTATACACGTTAGGGTGGTGTTATTCTTAAATGCCTTACTGGGATCTTGTATGTCCTTGTGATGTTTCAAACTTAAACGGATCTGCAAATAAAAGAGAACGAAAATCGATTTAGATTAATTTTTATGTTATGTTTGAATGTGTTGCGTTTTTAGACGGTAAATCGGTTCGAGGTATTGGAAAAATCGGGAATAAAAGTCATTCCACGTTTCATAATATTTTAAAACCCTACAAGTCATCCAATTCAATTGAAAATAAAAAGCGCAGTATAAACAGAAAAAAGTTAAGTGTTTTAAAAAATTCCATCTCAGCTCTCTTCATATGTAAAACAGTAAAAAATTGGGTTTCTGAATTTAAACGTTGTCGTACAAGTATTGAAGATGAACCTCGTAGTGGACGTCCAAAACCGGCAACAACATCAGAAATTGTAGTCAAAATGCATGATATGGTATTAAATGATCGATAGAAAAATTTCGTGAATTTGCTAATATCATGGGCATCTCAAATGATCGAGTCCATTTAATTTTGGATGAAGAACTAGAGATGAAAAGGCTTTCAGCAAGATGGGTGCCGTATTTGTTAACAGTCGATCGAAAACGCATAAGAATGAACATTTCTCAAGCTTGTTTGCATCATTTAAATAAAATAGATTTTAAGCGTAGTTTCATAACTGTGGATGAGACATGGATCCACCACTATACTCCAGGGACAAAAGAACAATCCAAACAATGGACTGAAGCTGGAGGAAGTGTCCCAAAAAAGGCAAAAACAATTCTATTGGCTGGTAAGGTTATGGCAACGGTTTTTTGGGACTTAAAAGGTATTTAATTGATTGACAATCTGCAAAAGGGTAAAACAATAAATTCAGAGTACTATGACAACCTTTCGGATCAATTAAATGTACAGATTCGAGAAAAACGTACCGGCACCAGCGGTCAAGCGTGTTTTAACAATAGCTAAAATCACCTTATTCTCCTGATTTAGTTCCCAGTGACTTTTACTTGTTCCCATATGTAAAAAAAATTCTTGCTGACAAGCGTTTTACCTCAAATGAAGATGAAATTACAGTTGTAAACCACTATTTTGAAGACCTTGAGGAAAACAGTTTTAATCAAGGGATAGAATTGCTAGAAAAGTGTTGGACTAAGGGTATTGTAGTTTCAGGAGATTATATTGAAAAATAAAAATATTTTTGAAAAAACTAATTATTCTCTCTCATTGATAGACTAAGAAGTTTCCGAACCGCTCTCGTATAACTGCCTCCATGTGTTGGCATCAGCAGGACAATCACCCGATTTGAACCCAATCGAGCAACAGTGGGGTCATCTGGAAGAATATTTAAAAAACATCCACATATATCCAACAAAACACAGTTAGAGAGAGAGAGTCCATGGCATAATTAGGTAGTCTCATTTGAGAATTTGATCATGACAATTCTTTTTAATTTGGAACTCATCTATCAATTTTAAATAATATGAAAAATAAATTCCATAAAATGTTAAACAATATATAAAGTGTTACACAAAATATATTTTCTAAAGCACATTGCTCTCAAGGTTATATCTTATATTTATAAGTTTTAGAGGCAGGGAACTTCAAAATATTTATAAATAAAAATTATTTATCGATTTTTGCCACTGAACATATGATATGCGTACATTTCGAAGGAAGATATTTTCATTTAAATTTTGAAAGCTGAGTAGTGTCAAAGGCAAATTTATGAAAAAAAAAAATTGGAAACATATGACTGCATGAGACTACCTTGTATAATTATGACATGAAAGAGTCATAAAGGGCAAATATTGAATCTTCGAACTGTCTAAACCTGTAAATGTGTAAAATATGACTATATTACCCGTTATTTATAATCATATTTTGATAATCTGAAGATTGAAAAATGCTTAATCAAAAAAGAGCATAGAGATGTTATTTCAATTTCGTATTTTTTAACCTCATTTTGCACAGATGGGTGATTAAAAACGGCTTGTTTTCTTCTAAGTATAATGGGGCAAGTTTTGAATTTGATTGAGTAAATACGAAAAAGATTATTTACAAATGTTAAGTAGAGGTGTTAATGTCAATGTTTAGTGAAGTGAAACAACACGATTAAATTATTTATATATTATATTCTCATTTATGACTACAGAATTATGTTTTGTTCCTACTGACACAAGCTATTTATTGTATTTATTAATAGAATTGTATCAATAACCCCTATTCCGTAAGTCGTCGTCGTTTCGACGACGTTTCTTTGTCGACATCACTTCGCATCGACATCGTCATCACTTCGACACTAATTTGGTATTCTGTAATACTCATGCGACGATGTCGACTATTTATCGATAATATCAGTAAAACAAAAAACACATCTCTAAAATTATGGTCAGCTGTTTATTTTGTTTGATATTTTTGTGTAAAAATGTGTTTGTATCCTTCACCTCACTGTGGAACAGGGCATTATGTCTTGGTACATGTGTTTGCAACATCCGAAAGGAAACGAGATAGACCCATAGTTATTTTTTAGTATATACATAGAATTACTTTTTGAGTTTATTTGAATAAGATACATGTCACCTTTATGATCCGAACGGGGTGAAATTTGGAAAATTCTATCCAATTGGGATGAAACTATTGATATTGGTCAAAATCGGTTCAGATTTATATATAGATCCCATACATTTTTCTTTATTTACACTTCATTTTGCATTACGTATTGAATAGATTCTTGATTGATGTATCCTATTCTTGTCCGGTCATGTTTTTTTTTTATTTTCTTAAAAAAAATGCTCCAACACTTAAGTCGTCAACTAAAACATTGACGAAGAAATCTTCGACATCGTCACACATTGTTACGGAATACCAAAAATGTTTCAATAGTTATCGATAAATGTCGACAACGACATAGGGAATACCAATTTGCAAAAGACGACACTCTTCGACGTCGTTTTGTGTCGACGACGACATACGGAATAGGGGTGAATATTCTGTTTACAAGCCCTGGTTCTTTATTTTGTTGGTGAGAGAGTTGGGGGGAATGACAGCCCTTCTCCTCTCTCGCCCATAAATTGGCAATTGCTGCAAATAACATTTCCTAATGTAATTTTGATATACATTTGAAAACGTTTATCGTTTTACATACATTATAAAAGAAAACATTTCAGGATAGAAATAAATAAAATGAAATTTAAATATGAACTATCGATGCTCTACAGTCATTCCAAAAAAATCACGGCGTACATTGTGTCGTATGATTGATTGACATTAACTTTTCCATTAAAACTTTCAAATCACGATATTGCGTATACGTCACCGGGTATTATCTTGAAAAAATCTAGAAATTTCAAAAAATTTCAGATTGTATATACAATATACATGCATAATACTCTCCCCCACTGGACTTCACAACGCCATTAACACTAATTATAGTGAAGTGAAAACGCTTAGCTCTGATAAACCACAGCCACAAAAATGAAACTGCGTTTCTAAAGCAAACATTTGTCCCGTTTGTTTGAAAAGTCAATGTCCATGTGTGTTTGTGTGCGCCCGTGCGTCTGTTTGTAGACAAAGGTTGGAATATTTGTCCTGAGTGTGTGTGTGTGATAAGCGTGTTTGTTAAGATTGCGTGAGGCGCCAAAAAGTTGCCTCTTCCACTTTTCGGTTTCCTTTGTTTTTTTTTTGTTGTTTGGCGAAATTATGCAATCACGACAAAAAGTCACAAGAGTAAAAGTTAAAGTCGCAACGTGGCATGTACATATATTTTATTATGTATGTTTGTGTGTATCACTCCTGTAGAACAACCACAGCTATATGGTATATTTTTTGAGTATTTAATATTACCTCATTGTGTACACGACTCCAGGCTTTCCACACGGGCAGTATCGCCATATTGCCATCATAGCTGCGTTCAATACCGCGCCAACATTCCGTTATAACGTAATCGCTGTAGTCACGCGATGCTGTGCCATCTTTTGTTTTAGAGTGTGTGTGTGCATGTTTGTGGGTTTTGTTGTTGTTTTTTTTTGGTAAAATTGCAAACATTGTTGTAGTGGTGTGTAAAATAGAAAATGGCGCCATATTCATATTTCGGTTGGTTAAGACGATTACCAGATGTACAGTCATCAAAATATAAAAGAAAACAAAATAAAAGAAACCTCTATTTAGTTTATATAATCCATGAAATTCTATAAAGTAGTTTTTTATCAGCATAACGGTATTATGACATAATTATAATTAAAATGCGATTATGTCTGAAATTAGTCACTTTGTCGTTGAGTTGCACGCCGTATTTTACTCACCTTTTAAACGTTGACAGTATTCATAATTGCCACAACGGATTTCATCATCAATCAAAGCTTTGATTATGTCATTGCATGTCGTTTTATTTGTAACGCCAGAAACGTAACGAGGTTCATCGCCCAACCAAATTGTAATTTCCTTATGACCTTGTTCCTATAATGATATAACAAATAAAATTATAATGTTTGCAAAAATTGTGGAATGAGAGGTGTATGTGTAAAATGATGATAGTGGGCAAAAAAAAATTCAACAATAAATGCGGAATGTGAGAAAAATATTTATATTATTTATTGGCCCTATAATGTTCTGAAATTTTTCATTTCCGTAGTTTTTAGTGGCTATCTCTTCCGTTAGTTTGCGTTTTATGAGGATTTCTTTGAAATACATAGAGTGGAATTGACAATTTAAACCCACTGGGTTAACGAAATTCGGTACAATGTAAATGTAATATTAATATCAAAGTCAACAACATGATTGTAGCATAGTTTTAGGCTCCAATTAATGCGGCAAACATATTTTCACATTCGAAACTATTATTCGAAATTTAAGTTAAAGTGTTCTACACACTCTTAGTTAAAATTACATTTCTACCCAAAATTTGTTTGTTTGATAGTTCGATCGTACATGTTTTACGTTCATCCATGGTAGTTGGCAAATCAGAATAAAACAAGAAAATAACTGTATTTTGAGCGAATAGATTTAATAATAGAATAATTATGGAAGGTAGTTCCATTTAAATTTTGAAAGCTGAATATTGTCGAAAGTAAAATTATGAAAACATTGGGTTCATATGTCTGCATGAGACTACCTTGTATAATTATGCAACCAGCAGATACCCATGGCATAATTATGGAAGGTAGTCTCATAATAATGGCAACTCTTTTTAATCTGAAACTCAAATATCAATTTTCAAATAAAATGAAAAATAGGAATCATATGTCTGCATGAAACTACCTTGTATAATTATGCCATGATCTTTTATCACAATTTTGCCAGCAACTGTTTTAAATTTTATCGAAAATTAAGGTATATTTTTAGGTTGTATTTGGCATTATTTCGATTTAACATAATGGCGCGTTTAGACTGTGCTTTCCAAATCGAATCGATTTGTAAATCGTGGTACCCAATCGTGGTGGTTTAGATATTAAAGTACTACGCGAATGTTTTTGCTGCAAATCTAAGCTTATATTTGGAATTAACTCAATAGGATTTCGAGCAAATCCAGATTTTGAGTGGATTTAATTTTGTATGGTAAAGGTCTGTTTAGACTATGCTTTCTTAATCGAATCGATTTGTAAATCGAGATACGAAATCCTAGATGTTTACACTAGTATTAATATGAAGTGGACTTGCCAGCTGTTATTTGTTTACGTTTTCGTACCCATTTTACTGCTTTCTTGATTTCTGTGGCAATTTTTCAACCAATATTTTCATAATTTTTATAGGAATTTCTATTATTAGGTCAGAATTGGAAAAAATTTGTTTTTTAATTATAGTAATATTTATTATAGTAATATTTATTAAAAATGCAAACAAAAAGTATTCAGCAGCTGACATTGATTAATTTTAAAGCATACTTTATGGACAACATTTCATTATTTTGTGCAAAAGCAGGGTTGTATTTGGAAGAGCTGTAGTCTAAAAGCTCTTTAGTATTAGAATGATATAATGTTGATTCGCCACCGGTTATTTGTTTACGTACGCACATACATTTTACTAGTTTCATAGTTTCTGTGTCAATTGTTCAATCAATATTTTTTATTTTTGATTTATTTTATTTAATTATAATAATATTTATTGAAAAATCAATTTTCAGCAGTTACTATATTTTGAAGCACACGTTTAGGAGAAGTGATTATTAGTTGGTGCGAACGCAGAGTTGTATTTGGAATTATCTAAATTTACCATAAAGGCGTACTTAGACTATGCCTTCCCAATCTACACGATTTCTAAATCAAGGTACCAAATCCTAACTGTTGGGACTAGTATTTTTGAAAATGATATAAAGGTATCTTATAAGCTGTTATTCGTTTACGAATACATACACATGTTACTGGTTTCAGAATTTCTGTGGCAATTTTTCAATAAATATTTTCATAATTTTGATCAAAAATTCATAAAAACATTTGTAGTTTTAAATAATAGTAATATTCATTATCTATAAAACTATTATCAATTTTTCATCAGCTGCCATATTTTTGGTAGGCAACTATATTGAATTGTAGCATATTTTTTAGCATACTTTAAGCATAATTCATTGTTTGTTGGATTTCAAGTAAAAAGAAAATTCTGAATATTTTTTTTTTGCAGAGCGTAGAGTTTTATAACCTACATAACAATGTTTTAAAAAATATTTTGTTAATACCTAGCAGAGTGTAGATATTTTAAAGAATATTTTTTTCAATACCCGAGAAAAATATTTTTAACATCAATCAAAGCATAGAATTAATGAAATATTTTTCAAACATCTACACTTTGATATGAAATGAAATATTCAAACACCAATGAAAGTAGATTAAAAAAATTTTAAATTCAATTAACGTGTAAATTCGAATCAATATACTTTTTCAAACTTAAATCAGAACTTGGATTTTAAAGCTGTTTTTGAAAAATAAATTAGTTTTTAAAGCAGTATATTGTTTTTTCCAATTATAAAATATTATATTATAATATTGTTAAAATTATTTATACCCCTTGAGATAGATCGGAATATTGTCTTTCCGCAAATATTACAATTAAGGCGCCTTTAGACGACAGCTTTTGTCGTGCTAATATGCATTATTTTTAATTGCTAAATCGAGATGAATTTACCTCGATTTACCATACAAAATTAAATCCACTCGATATCTCGATGTGCCTATGCTTTAAATTTAGTCAGTATTCAGAATAACTACTAACTACTACTATGTCAGCTGTTGAAAAATTGTCTTTTTTGCACTTATAATAAAATTACTAAAATTAATTCTTTTTTGCATTTCTGATCTAATGGATTACCAAAATTATAAAAATATTGATTGAAAATTTATCACAGAAATTATTAAAGCATAAAAATGTGTATGTATACGCAAACAAATCCACTTTATATTAATAGTAGTCTAAACAGCTAGGATTTCGTGCCTCGGTTTGAAAGGCATAATCTAAACGAGTCTTTATTCCTTTTTAATCAATCGCGAGATATTCCATATCTTGTAGTACTAATTGTACATAAAAATATTTATTTATGTATTGTTTTTTTGTATATTTAAAATACTTACAATTGTACTATTTACACCATATAATGAAATCGAACGACTGCGTCTACTGCAACCGCTGCGATAACTTCCGTTACGCTGATGTTTGTATTTGTGCAAATGACGTTTTTCCTTTTCCATTTGTTCCCAATTACGTACAAAGTTGACATCTTGTTGATGGTTGTTATTGTCGTTATTAACGTGTTTGTTGTGGTTTTTGTTGCTGTTGCTGTTATTGTTATTATTATTCTTATCGTGATTTTGATGTTGATTCTTTGGTGGCAATATGGGACTATAACGACTAATTTCTTCGGGTATATTAATCAACGAAGGACTCACATCAAGATTTCCATCGATAAGTGTGGAATTTTGTTGGGGAGCCATTTTGTCTTGTTGTTTTAATGTTTATACACTGAAAAGAAACAACGACAACAAATTATAGTATTATTACAAATTGTATATTATATAAAGAAAACGAAAAAAAAAACTATTAACAATATTTGGTTTGACTGGTGTAGCAGTAGTAGTACATCACAACATGCAATTTGAATATTTTCATAACATCAACATGACATGCAAGTGTAATTTTAGAACATTGTTTTTTCCCAGATTTTTGTTTACATGTAATAAAATTGTTCCTTTTTTTGGAATGTTGTACATGTATTTTGTGCTCCTGATGAAATACCGTTGAAACTTCCTAGGCCCACCTCCTACACAAAATATGGCATACGTACTCGTTGACCTGGCTAACGGACTATAGAAAAAAGGCTAAAAAATTGAACTAAAAAAATAAAACGACGCCACATTGTCGGTAGATTTTGTTTGTGGTTTGCAGCTAACGATCAATTTAGATTTGAACAAACGATAAAATAAATTACCCACCATGCACATGAAATGAAATTTCCAGCAATGAGGTGGCTTTTTCATTTCATTTTTGACAATACTCACAAGTCCTTGTGGCTAGTGTAGGGGAGAGGGTGATGGGAAAAGCAGGCGGTATGGTTCATTTACAAGGCATATACCCTCTAATTTGGTAAATGAACTTATGGAACACCAAAATGGTGGCTAACGCTCAACCATTCTATACCTATATTCCAATGGAATTCAAATGTTGTGCTCTCCTTTCGAGTAGAGAATGCATTAGTTTAAATGTGTATATGTATGTGTGTATATAAGTGAGTATGTAAATATTTTCTTTGAATACATTGCAGGTAATGTTTTATTCTACCGGAAGTCAATAGTAAATTTTCATTTTGGCTTGGGGTATGTAAAGTGTTTTTTTCTTCTTCTTCCTCTTCGTTTGAAATATGAAAAATAAATGAATTGTTATAGGGGGGGGGGGGGGGGGGGGGGGGGGGGGGGGGTTTTAACACTTGCTCTGCATAATTTTAACACAAATTTATTTGTATATGTGCTGGTTAAAAAATGCATATATAAATTATGGCAATTTCTTGGCTGTATAGGCGTGAGTAGAAAAGGGCTTTATTGGGAGAGTAATAGTTCTACTTCAAACTATTTTAGTATAATTGAATTTTTCCCCTCTGCTAATATATCGATCTGACAGCTGGAGTCGCAATTACTGTAATACCACACAAAACAGAAAGTAAAGATACATTGGGCGCCACTTTTCACAATCATAATTTCCCTATTTCTGGGAAAAGAAAATATTGAAAAAAAAAAATGGCCACAGAAATTATGAAAATCAATTAATTTAAATACTAGTGAAAACAGCTGGAATTTCATGTATCGATTTACAAATCGAGTCGATTTAGGAGGCATAGTCTAAATTGCTATATCGAGCTCAATTTACCACGATATACAACGCAAAATTAAATTCCCTTAATATCTCGATTTGCTCAAAAAATCTATGATAAGTTGAGATAATTTCAAATACAACCCTGTTTTGCAACAACAAATTATCAATTCTCCTTAATATATGCTACAAAATACTTTACAATTCAAAATTGTTTCCTAACAAAAATATGATACCTGAACATGTGTTTTATTGCAGCAATTCCTATCAAAATTATGAAATTATTGATTGGAAATTTGCCACCGAAATAAGACGAAGCAAATGTGAAAAACATCAGTTGACAAATCAACTTTATATCATTTTAATACCAGTCTAATCTTCTAGTATTTGGTATCTCGATTTGCATATCGAGCCGATTTATCTGGATTTAATTGCTAAATCAAGCTGAATTTACCTCGATTTACCAAACAAAATTAAATCCATTTATTATCACGATTTGCTCAAAATCCTGTACTAAATCGAGATAATTTCAAATACAACTCTGTTTTTTGGAACAAAAAATAAAGGTTTCTCTCTAAAGTATGCTTTTAAATTAGTCAATAATTATAAATATTGTTATAATTAAAAAACAAATGTGTTTTTGCATTTCTGACCTAATGGAGATAAATTCCTAACAAAATTATAAAAAAAATGATTAACCATTTGCCTAATTTCAGTGAAATGTGTAAGTATACGTAAACAAATAACAGCTGACATATCCACTTAATTTAATTTTAATACTAGTCTAAACAGCTAGGATTTCGTACCTCGATTTAGAAGGCAAAGTCTAAACGCGCTTCAACGCTAAATCGAAATGATTTCAAATACAACCCTGTTTTTGCACCAAACAAAATAATGACTTCTCCTAAAAGTATCTCGATCTACATATCGAATCGATTTAGATCATGTTCCCTGTGGTTCCAGCCGCGAAAGAGGTTTCAATTATAAAAGATGTGCATTTATCCCAATTCTCTAAGTTTAAACGTCTTTTTTTGGGAATAAAAAATCTAAATTATTTTTATTTCACAATTTGATAACATTATCCATTGTTCTGTGTGTATTCAATTTTAAAGTTTTCGATCAAAATATTTTCACATTTCGACTCATGTACATTTTTTAATACACAATAACTGAATAAAATATGTGTGGACGCCTTAAAGTATGCATTTGAATGACTTGAACTAATACCGTGGACAACGACGGCAATTCCTTTGATGTCTGTGGGCTAGTGAAATTAATAAATAATAAATCGCATTGGTTCGCCGACCTTTTTATATCGACGACCAGTTAATAGCAAATCGCCAATTACTATTATTGCCACCCAACGAGAGGCCGGCGGGCGGAGTATGAAAAATAAATTTAGACGCATTTCAAACACTTTTCAATGTCAATTTGTCTTCAATGGTGGGCGGGAGGTGACGGCCGGGGGTTTGCATGTCTTTCAATAGTATTTCAAAGGGAAATAAATGTTCAACGAAGTGATTTTTGATTATAGTTCCTTTCAAGTCTGATGTCTATTCATTAGTCAATACATAGTGTCTTGACATACACATGCACATATGTCATTCATTGATTCATTGCATTTATGAGTAAAGTGAATTAGTAAATTACATTGGGGAAATAAACATTAAAATGAAATTGAAAAAAAAGAAATAAATAAACAGAAATGGTCATTAGTGTTTGAATTAAATATTAATTGTGTCAACAGGAAATGGGACTTGACAATAACATAAATAGACTTCTATATGATGTAGCGCATTAAATGACAAATTTTGGTAAAACATATTTGGTGTATATATGTAACATAATTGTCCCTTTTTAAGTTTTAGTAGAAGTAATGTATAATATGAATATATTTTCGACATTTTGTAGTAGTTACAATTCTATTATATGATGAATTTGATACAAACTAATTGTACATTTCTTTATGTGTATATATAAGTAAACAAATATTAAAAATCGCGCATTAGACTGTACCTTCTGTATTAAATTAAAATATGTAGATTTTCAGCTGTTACTTGTTTTAGTACGCTTTCGTAATTTCTGTGGCAATTTTTAACCAATATTTTCATAATTTTTTTGTTACAAATTAGTCCTGATTTATATTAGGCGAGTTTACTTGCGGCAATTTTTATCGTTCTCTTTTGAACTTGCTCCATGCGTCTATACAAGGCAATTCGGTTTCCAAAAAATGTTTTTATTTGTTGTTTTTTCACATTTAAATATATATAAAATGTCAACAAATACGAAATACACAAAACGAATTGCCAGAAAATTGTCGGTACGAGCAATTTTTTCCATTTCTATTCCCCTTGCCCCTCTCTCCTACAAACAAAGACTTGCCGCAAGTAAACTCGCCTAATCTAAATCAAGACTTATTACGATTGAAATATATTTTTTGTTATATTTATGTATCAAAATTGTTAAGTTTTCAATTCAAGATGATCGTCGAAGACCATCGAAATATCGGAAACAAAATAAAAATACATCAAATAAAGCAAAAGTTGTTTTATTAGAATGACCTCGGGCCGAAGCAGGACTGTATTTTGATTTAAAGCGCGTTTAGACTATAGCTGTTATCGTAATAAAGTGCATTATTTCGATTTTTTTTTGCTAAGTCGAGCTCAATTTACCTCGATTTACCATACAAAATCAACTCGATTCGTTAATCGTAATATTAAATCCTAACTGTTTAGACTGCTATGAAATGAAGTGGATTTGTCAGCTGTTATTTGTTTACGTACACATACACATTTCTCCGCTTCTATGATGTCTGTGGCAATTTTCAACCAATATTATCACAATTTTCTCAGAAATTGCTCTCTATTAGGTCAGAAATGCATAAAAACCTTTGTCGTTCTAAATTATAGTAGTATATATTATGAATGCAAGTAGTATATATTATGAATGCTAAAATTTTTTAGCAGTTGACATATTTTGGTCAATCAGTTATTTTAAATATTAATTTATTTTAAAGCATACTTTAGGGAGAAACGATTATTTTTTTGCGGCAAAGCAGGGTTGTATTTGAAATTATCTCGATTTAGCATATGATTTAGAGGAAATCGAGATATTGAGTGGATTTGTATGGTAAATCGAGTAAAATTCAGCTCGATTTACCAATTAAATCGAGATAATGCACTTTGTCACGATAGAAGCTGTAGTCTAAACGTATATGTACACTCCATAATTTTGTTAGGATTTGCTTGCTGGATTTGCTGTTTTGTTAGGACTTGCTCTCCATTCGGCCAGAAATGCATAAAAACCTAAAACCTTTGATTTTCTAAATGGTAGTAATAATTAAAAATTAATAATTAAAAAAAAACAAAAAAAAATAGATTTGGACATATTTTTGTTAAGCACTTAGTCCAAATTTAGATTAGGCGAGTTTACTTGCGGCAAGTCTTTGTTTGTAGGAGACAATTTTCTGGCAATTCGTTTTGTGTATTTCGTATTTGTTGACATTTTATATATCTTTAAATGTGAAAAAACAACAAATAAAAAATTTTTTTGGAAACCGAATTGTCTTGTATAGACGCATGTAGCAAGTTCAAAAGAGAACGATAAAAATTGCCGCAAGTAAACTCGCCTAATATAAATCA